TATCAGAATGGCAACTTCTGACTGGTGTGGTATGTGATACAACCCGTGAATCCTACGGTCACGGGCCCATTCCCACACCTTCTGCGGGGTAAAGTAATGCTATATTGTATGGATGCTATATTGTATGGGAGTCTATGCAGTGGGCCAGGCACTCTGTAAGCCCTGGATAGTGGGATGCTATATTGTATGGGAGTCTATGCAGTGTGCCAGGCATTCTCTAAGCCCCTGGATAGTGGTACTGGCTGAGGCTCTGTGAGTAGGAAAGGCAAATCCACATTTAGTATCCCTATCTATTCCTGTGGAGCGGAACCACTTGCACTTCCAGGAAAGAAGGGGCCAATGTAGTCAACTTGCCAACAAGTAGCTTGCTGGTCTCCTCTAGGAACAGTGTACTTGGAGCTCAGCTTTTGTTTCTGGTTGTTGGCAGATTGAACATTTATAGGCAGTAGTTCCTAGATGAGCATTGGGGGTGGGGGTCTATGCTGTTGGCCCCATGGGCAGCTTGAGAGGCAGACTTCTAAGAAGACTACGAATGATCGCTGCCTTCTGGTATTCACTCTTGTATAATTCCCTGCCCTTGTCTTTGAGCTGGACCTACTGAAGCACTTCTAACAAAAAGAACACAGCAAAAATGATAGGACATCCTTTCAGAGATTAGGTTATAAATGATTGTCACTTCTATCCTGATGGCATTCTCTCTCTGGCTTCCACCTGGTTCACTCTGATGAATCTAGCTTCTGTACAGAGAGTTCCATGTGGTGAAGAACTAAGGCCTGAAGTCACACAATCTATGAGAGGCTCAATCCTTCCAATAGCCATATGAGTAAGCTTGGAAGCAGGTCCTTCCCCAGTTGAACCTTGACATGAAACCATATCGCTGACTAACAGACACCTTAATTATAGCCCACGAGAGGACCCAACTAAGCCATGCCTGGATTCTGGATCTACGGAAACTATGAGATAACAAATATTGTTGTTTCAAGCCACTAAACTTTAGGCTATATTTTTAGTGTGCCCATTGTGCTAAGACAGGGATGGCTGCTAGCAAGGCATAACTGACTAAGAGAAACTGACTGAGTCATTTTGTCTGTTTGGTTGTTTAGTGTCGCTTCTATGATAGATGTTCTTTGGTGGGTATTTACCTGTAATGAGAAGATGTTCAGAGTTTGTACTCATAACCTGGAGTGAGTGTGCACCTGCCTTTACTCCAGACATCTGGGTTCAGTTTACTGGCCTTCTTCCTTCCAGTTCTGTGACCAACAAGCCAAGCCATGTGCCACTGCCCATGAGTCCATATGTCTTCTTACCTTGGGCCCATTCTCCTAGAGCAGATGAGCTTGTGCCTTGCTGCTTTTTTTCCATTGTCATTCAAGGCTACTGCCGAGTGAGGTTGTAGTGTAGTTGCCATCCATTTTTGGTTTGTACCCACTTACTGAGCCAACTCATCCACACAGAAAGGTCAGGCTTTTCCTTCCCCCTTCAGCTGGCCTTATGGGATCACCTACACAGCCATAGTTATAAGCTGAGGTAGGGACCATCTGTTCAGCTATAATGCATGGCATGAGTTCTGGGATACCTGTTTAAGCTTGTTGGTACAGCTAACCTGAGCTTGGACCCAGAGGTAGTCTGGACCTGCTATGGAGCCCTTTTCTGCTCCAGGCCCTACTCAATGATGGCCCAATCTATGGGCTGGAGCAGTATTTCTAGGTATGGAATATGCTGCCCCCACATTCTGAAAAAGCCTACCAGGCATTGTGCTTTCTTGTTTTTTAGTAGGGATGCAAGACACAGAAATTTGTCTTTTACATTGGAGAGAATATCTACCATAGTGTGAATCCAGGATCCCTAAAAGCTTTCCCGAAGTGTCAGGTTCCTGAATCTTCCAGGATTTATCTGTCACCCTCTGAAGCACATCTGTCTTACCAAGGCTACCAATGCAGTAGTCACCTCTTGCTTATCATGTCATCAACTTAATGGGTCAATGTGGTTATGATATTATATTCAATATCAATGTGATATTCTTCATATTATCCAGATGGTCTAGATCTCTTTGGACTGTATTATTACAGAAGGCAGGAGAGTTAGCATTGCCTTGGAGCAAAACTGTAAATGTATAATGTTGCCCATTCCATTTGAATGTGAACTGTTTCTAATGGCCTTTTAAAACTGGGAATGAAAAGCACGCATTTTCCAAGTCAGTGGTTACATACCACATACCTGAGGCCATATTTATCTGCTCCAGCAGTGGTGCTATATCTGGTGCAGCAGATGTGATCAGGGTTAGTATTGGTTGCACTTGCAGTAGTCTATAGTCATTGACTAGGATTCATTTCGCTTCTGTAGGGTGTAGACTGGGGAATCAAATGGAGATGTGATACAGACCACCATCCCTGTTGCATCCCGAAATCTTTAATCTCCGGATGCAATACCATTTTTGATTTGCTTATCATAACCAGAAATTTCTGAGACTTCCACTTGACATTCTCCATTAGGACCATGCTTACCTAGAGACCAAGGACTCAATGTAAGGATTACATCAACTGTCAACTATAATAATCCCAATAATACCTTTTGGGAACAGGAGAAGTGACCACTCTGTGGATGCATGGACCAGTGGACTCACTCTAAGCCATATTTTGGCCAGGAGTCCATTTATTGCTTTATACTCATGTTTTCCCACTGCAGACAGGGAGGGACTCATGATGGTGTTTCAGTCTTTAGGCTTCAATGACAACTCAGATCCTGTGTCCAATAGATTTTGGAAGGTCTGACCATTTCTTTCTCCAATGGATAGTCAATCAAGTAAATGGCAATAAGACCTCTTGGGGAAGGACTTGGGTATTATTAGTGTATACTTGCCCTAGTAGTGTGGAGTCCTTCTTCCCAGAGATTTAGCCACTTGTCAGCCAACAGGTTTTGAATCTGAAAACTGGCTCAGGTGTGGCCCCTTGTCAAGGTTATCCTGACTTTGTATTGGTGAAATCATCCTCAGCCTTCTGCATTCATTCTCCTTCCCTTTGATTATATATAGTTAATGGGCACTCTAGTTGGCTGCCTAGTATTTTGTTCCTAGGAATGGTGAGTTCTATTCACCATCTCCAGGATGCTCTCTCTATAGGTTAAGCCCTCCAGGCCACCACTCTGCTCTTGTCAGTTGTCCTGATAATTACAACCACCTGGCTTCTGGTGGTTAAAAACCACCACCTGGCCTTAATTGTTTTGGAGGAGCCCAACATCCCCAGGTCTATCAGTGAGCCAAGGTCTGTGACAGACTCTCCTCTTGTCAGCCCCAGAAGAAAGCCACCACTGAACCACTTAGCGATGCTAGTCATGCCCCTCTCACCAGCACATTCTCAGTGGCCTTGGTAAATGGTATGTCTTCTGATGGGCCTTCTGGCCTCACATAATACACCCATTCCTGCAAGCCCACTTCCCTGAGCCTTTTACTTTCTTCCCCTATGTCTGCCATGGCATGGCACACAGGCATTCCAGACTTTCAGCATGGGTCATCAGTTTCTCCAGGCTTCTAGAAGCAAACCTAAGAGCAAGTTTATATTGCTTCTTGGAGTGTTCCTTGTATCTCAAGAGAGTGACCCAAGCACTCTCTCTTATTCAGACTTCTGTTTCAGCCCTCTTGATCAAGCACCTAATCTCATGTTCCTGTGTCTTCGGGATTATGGTGGCTTCTTCCCTTATCAGACCTAGCCTATCCCTGGCTGGGTGGAGCTATGACTTAACCCTGATGGTAGCCTGCTGTCCAGGAAAGGAAGAGGGAAGACATCTGCTGTCTTTTGGGGGAAGGCCCTCTGTATCACTTTCCTGCATAAGCAATGTGCTAGCTCTTGACTGATCAAGGCAAGTGACCCCTGTTGGCTCAGAAGGTTCGGAAGCATCCCAAGTGTTGTGTCATGATCTCAGTTTTTGCCAGCTGGGGCCTGACTTTGACATAACAGTCCTGCCTTGATTGAGCACTAAATGGTCTTCGAAGTTCAGCAGCTATTAAATCCTGGACTTCACTTTCAGCTTTTCTACTGAAAAGGGGCTCCCTTTTTACTTAGTTTAAGTTGCTAACTGTTCTCAACTTTTCACTATCCTCCTATCCTGCAGGTTAGTGATAATCATCCAATTCCATGATCTTTATACCAATGAGCCTCAAAGTACATTTCAAATGCCACTCTCCTCTCCCTACATGCCCTTCCAGATGACCCAGGATGAGACCTTTAACAAGTAGACTCCCGTCTCATGCCAAAGGCTACCTTCAAATCACCTACCACTAGGAATAGGGAGGTCCTCATAACCAGCTGGGTGTGAGCAATACGGTCCCCAAACCTTGATATTACCACTGGCTTTCTCAGATCATTCTTGGTACCAACAGTTGCAAGTTAAGTTCTCTGAGAACTAGATGCCGAAATGGGGTTAGAAGTGCAAAATATTTACCGGGGAGTAATACCTATGAAAAGAAAAGGGGCCAACTCAGGATTGTGTAGAGAAAGCCATTGGACCAGGATCAAGGTAGGTCAAGACCTCACTAACCCAGCAAGAATTCTGGAGCAAAGACCACCTATTAATACAGTCTGAGGTTGAAGGAAAATGGGAAGACCTTTGTACCAGTGTCTTGCTCAGTCATTGGCAGGGGAGTAAGGTAACCAGGGGTTCAGTTAAATTTACATTTCAGATAAGTGAGGAATTTTTTCTTTAGCACATCCCATGCAATATTTGGGGAATACTTATCTTAAAAAATAGTCACTGTTTATCTGAAATATGAATTTAATAGGGTGTCCTGTGCTTTTATTTGGTAACTCTGGCAACCCTTGCTGGGGGTCACCCCTGAGAATATACACTCTTAGCTACCACTGCTTCAGTTGGCCATGGTCTGGAAGCCACAGTGAGAATAGTGTGACCTTAGCTTGAAACCTGAGGGGGACCTGGAGGTTCTAAGTGCTAGAGGCTCTCAGCTAACCATACTGCCAGTAGCTGGGCAGCAAGTCCTTTCTCAAAGGGAGAACAGAGCAGAAAATCTCTGCACCTGACACATTTATTTTCAGTTTAACTGTTGCCTCCTGGGCTAGAAGTAACCCCAGTGAAGGTGAGAAAATTGTGTCTCTTGTTTATTGTTGTGTCTCCATGCTTAACACATGGCTTGGCTCATGGTAGATGTCCAATTATTGGTTGCCAAACTGAATTGTACTTAAGACTTCAGTGATCTGGGAGTATTTAGGGAGCACAGAAAGCAGTCCTCTTGTTCCTTCCCAGGATCACATTCTGAGTTCGGCTTGCCCTTTGATGACCTCCCACGCCGTGTGTGTAGTCAACAGAGGTAATAGGTGGAAGATCGGCTCCGGGCTGTAGAGTCTGAGTTCGCAGCCACTGAACCCTATAGCAGAGCTAATTATTTATGGAATTAATTAAATGCTTTCTAAGTAAGTAAAGAAGGTTCTAATTGAGGAATTTTAAGAGAGGCCTCATACATGAAGGTAGGTATTTGGTGTGAATGGGTCATGCTTGTCTCTCCATGTATATGTCCCACACAGGGCCCCAACCCAACAGACCCGGGACAGAATTTTAGTATCGCTCTGGGGCTGACTTGCGCCATGACTCTCCTGTCGAATGAGCCAGGAATCCTTGTGCCACCCGATTCCAGCAGGCAGTGTCCAGCCACTGGGTAAGTTCTGCAGATCCCACCTCTTTCCTCTCTCACAGCTTCTCTTACTCTTTATCCTTGCCACTTTTGAATTACTTACTAGCTTTGGTTTTCTCATTCATAAAGTATGACTAATAATAATACCCACCTACCAGAGGTGTTGTGAGGTTTAACATTTATTAAGTTAAAAGCAAGCATGCAAAGCGAGGACCATGTTCCTGCTTGGAGGTTCAGAGAGGTGAAGTCACTAGCCTTAGGTCACACAGCTTGCCAGTCCTAGAGTAGGATTTTAAACAAAGTCTGTCTGATTTCTGCGCTTTCCCCACGAGAGCCATAAAGACAAATCCCTGGGGTTCCAGGTAGAACTGTGTCCCTGTCTGCCACAGCCTGTTATCACACAGGAGCACAGTGTGACCACAGCATGCCTAGGAGTCACTGAGAGGGAGGAGGAAGATACTGGGAAAGGTGTTTGCCAAGAACCATACACAGTGATTCTACCAACACATTGAGATCTTTGCCCTAAAAGAAACTACAAATGAGGGCTTACTCCTGGGAGTATATTTTTTTAAATACTAGAATTAGTTTACCTGAAAGAAATTCTTCTGTATAAAAAGGAAACAATGTAGCAATGGTCCACATTTAAATACAGAATGATTTGCCTTGCAGTTGTGTTGCCAGTTTTAAAACCCTGAACCAACTCCCTCCCCATGTCACTATGTGATCCCACTCGCTTGGCTGGCTCAGGAAATGCAAACTAATATTAGCCAGAGCAGAAACATAGCCAGCAGGATTATCTGGTTGCTAAAAAGAAATTACGCTATGCACTCTTAAACAAATGAGGAAAACTTGGGTGATCATCCATCCATTTATATGAGCTCCGTCAGGGCGTTCTTCACGTTCAGGTTCACATGGTCTGCGGGCAAGGAGCACGCCATTCTTCCTTCCCTCCCTTCCCTCTGGAGGAGGATAGTCCGCTCCGGCTAATAACTCTGTCCTCGGCTTATTCTTGTAACTGACTTTCAGATGAAACCAAATCAAACCAAACTAAACCCACCCAGAAACAAGATAAAGAAGAAAAAACCAACCAACCCAGAAATGTTTCCTTTCTTGAACCCTGAACGCAGCTCTCGGATTATTTTTACACATCTTACCTATTTTAGAACCATTTTGTCTTTGTCGTTGTCTTAATCTCGGTGACCATATAGAAAAAAAATAGTGAAATACACTACTTTAGCCACCCTGAAACTGTTTCTGGAAACATCTAAGTTGAAGGGTTTGTCATTGTGACTGCTGACTGAGAGAGACTTGAGTTCTTGCAGAAATGATGAGAGCGAACCCCACACCCCGGGCACACACGGGTGCCAGGCAGAGGCCATGATCTTGATGTCCTTCAATTCATTTGATCCCAACAGCAAACCTATCAGGTAAGGTTTTTCCTTGTGTCCAGGGGGTGTCAGGATCTCTGAGCTTGTTTTCAAGTGGAAACTCAGTATCCCCTTTCCCCGGGGAGCAGGGGCCCCAGGGCCCAGGAAGTTCAGTCGATCCTGGGGCAGCACTGTCCCTCTCTGGCTGCTGTGGGACGTCCCTGACCCTTGTGGATGCGAAAGGCCAGTGCATACCAGTGCTGGTTATATTTACACAGCGGGCTAAAATTAGCTGGCACGCTCTCCTGGCAACCGGCAGGATATAAGTCTCCCATTTTATCTAGCGATGCTAATTCTGGCAAAACCAAAAGTGTCCTTCTGCTGTTCTCAGTGGATACGCATTCGACAACAATAATATCCTTTTCCTTCCTCTTCCTCTTCTCTACATTTTAGGAAATTTCAAATATAAATCCGGGCTGATTTTGGATCAGGACAAATACCTACCAGCCTAGAAACCTAATGGAGGGTTTGGGGTGGGGGGGAAGGCTCCTCCTATATGCGGAAAGTTTAGGGACTTCTCTGGGATGGAACAAAAGTAAAATAGAAACATGTCACTGGCTATTTTCCATCAACATTGGAAGAGCAGTGAACTTAGAAGGGCACCAGTTGGAGCCCTGGCATTTCTAGTGCAAATGGAACATTTAGGGGTAGGGGCGCTGCATGAAGGCCCTGAGCTCCATGGTAAATAGCACCCAGGGTGGAAACAGACTGAGGTCCACCCTTGGCGGGGACTATGAGGATTGTCACCTCTTTGAAGAGTCTGCACTCTCTCTTGAAGCAGAGTTAATCTGTGTGGACCCCCCATGAAAAGGTAGTATGACCAAGTAGTCATGTCTACCGAGGAATAACATCAGGATGTGTGGCGTGTATTTGTGATACATCCAATGGACCCAGTGGCTGGGAGAGGGAATGGAGGCTGAGGTGTTCAACAGACCTGGGCTCAAGCCCAATGTTGTCCTTGGGTATCCTGTAAAGGTAGCAGGGAGCTGGCTTGAATTTGCTGCTCAACTCTAGACTTGTCCTTAAATTGTACTATGGTCTGGGGGCACCTGGGTGGCTCAGTCAGCTAAATGTCTGACTCCTGATCTCAGCTAAGGTCTTGATTTCAGAGTCATGAGTTCAAGCCCCACACTGGGCTCCATGTGGGGTATGGAGCCTACTTAAAAAAAAAAAAATGTGGTCTGAGTGTTTGCACCCCCCACCACCCCAGTTCATATGTTGAAATCCCAATGCCTGATACTATGGTGTTAGGAAGCGGGCCTCTGGGAAGTACTTAGGTCAGAAGGGTAGAGTGCCCATCTCCATAGTTTTGAATATTTGCAATATGTTTCAAGACTGAATATGTTCCTTCCTTTTAATGGGTGATTTTAACTCACTTATAAGTATTGATATGACTGATATGTTAGAAATTAGGTCCTTCAGGGGCACCTGGGTGGCTCAGTGGGTTAAGCCTCTGCCTTTGGCTCAGGTCATGATCTCAGGGTCCTGGGATCGAGTCCCACATTGGCTCTCTGCTCCGCAGGGAGCCAGCTTCCTCCTCTCTCTCTCTGCTTGCCTCTCTGCCCACTTGTGATCTCTCTCTGTCAAATAAATAAAATCTTAAAAAAAAAAAGAAATTAGGTCCTTCATATTGTTTTATATTATATGTGGTAGGAAGAACAATGACTGTATGCTTTCTGTTATCAGAGCTTAAATAGAATCTTACACCGTGTGACTATGGGTTTTTTTTGTTCTGTCTTGTTTTGTTTTTTTGCTTTATCCAATCTTGTGTTAGTGCCATGCTGCTTTGATTATTTTAACTTAAGAATATGTCTTGATATTTGATAGTATAAGTCTTCCAACTTGCTTTATTTTCATTTTTTATGAAATATATGAATTGCATCTTAGTTCAAGTGAAACATATATACATGCACGTGTACACATGCACATATACACACACATAAACGGTGTCTTGAACCTTCTCACAAGATCACTGTGATGGTTCTATGAGTTCATGTAGATCATGTAGATCAATTGATTTCCATACCTCACTTCTCTATAAGACCCTTACAACAATATACTTTCATTTCTCTTTTCCAGACTTTATGGTAGAGCCGTCATACATTTTACATACATGTGTACACACACACACATTATAAACCCCATACTACATTGTTATGCTTTTTGTTTAAACAAATCTTCATTATGAATTATTTTACTTAAACAATTACTCATTCTGAAGCTCTCCTTTTTGTACATCCATATTTCCATCTGGTATAATTTTCCCTAAGTTTTCTTGTTATGTGGGTGTGCTGGTGATGAATTCATTCAGCTTTTCTATTTCTGAAAAAGGTTTTATTTTACCTTTGTTTATGAAAGATATTTTTTTCTAGGTATAGAATTCTAATTCAGAAGTTTTTTCAATATTTTAAAGACATCTCTCCCTCGTCTTCTCACGCACATTGTTTCAGTTGAGAAATCTGATGTCATCCTTTCTTTGTTCCACTGATTTTTCTCTGCACCACTGGTTCTGAGCAATTTGATTTTGATGATCCTTGGTATATTTTAAAAGAAAATTTCTTGTGATTAGACTTTGTTGACCTTCTTGGATTTGTGGATTTTAATTTTCATCAAGTTTGAAATATTTTGGTTATTATTTCTTCAAATTTTTTGTCTCTCTCCTCTATTGGAGATTCCAATTACACTTATATTACCTATTTGAATTGGACCACAGTTCACTGATGTTCTGTTCATTTAAAAAAAGTTTTTTTTGCCTTGTACTTCATTTTGAATAGTTTCTATTTTTCTGCCTTCAAATTCACTAATCTTTCCTTTTGCATTGTCTAATCTGCCATTAATCACATCCAAAGTATTTTCCATCACTTACATTGCAGTTTTTATCTCTTGAATTTGGAGTCCTTTTTAAAAAATCTTCTATGTCTCTAGTTAACTTTTCAAACATATGGAATGTAGTTATAATAGCCATTTTAGTGTCCTTCTCTGCTAATTCTAACACCTGTGTGAGCTCTAGGTTGATTTTAATTGATTGTTTATTCTCATTACAAGTTATATTTTCCTGATTCTTTTTATGCTTGGTAATTTTTTATTGGATACCAGATACTGTAAAATTTACTTTGTTAGGTGCTGGATATTTTTGTATTCCTATAAATACTCTTAAGCCTTTTTTTATTTTTTTTGTCCTTCCTAGAATCCAGTTAAGAAATATTTTTGCCTGGGATTCAATTAGAAGTACTTTGGTCCTTTTGGCTTGCCTTTAAGACTTATTGGGCAAGACTGGAGCAGTACTCAGTCAGGGGCTAATTTTTCCCCACTACAGAAGTAGGAATCTTCTGTGTACTTTGCCCAGCATTTCATGAATCATGAAGTTTCCAGTCTGGCTTGTGGGAACAGGTATTATGCCTATGTGTATGGATTATTGAGGTGTTTCTTTCCTCAGCCTCATCTAGTTTTTTTCACATGCACGCACTGATTATTAGCTGAATACTTCATGGGTTCTCGCTAAAGATTTTCAAAGTGCTCTCTGCATGTTGTTTTCTACCCTCCCACCAGTCTCCCCAGTATTCTGTCCTGCAAACCCTAGCTGCGCTGGTTTCTCAG